CCTTTTTTATCTTTGTGGTTTGTAGAGAACCCGAGGCAATTTAGCAAGAGAATTAGCTTGGAGAAGCACAGCATTGCTTTAGGTTGGATCAAGTATGATGACCCTTTATGAATTTTCCTAACCACATGAGTCATTATTATGAATGTATAATTTTTTTTCCTGTGTCAAACTAACACAATGTTTCTAGAAAAGTCACATTTTCTTGTCTACTTTTTGGAAAAACACAAGAGTGCAGCTTCAATAAGTTCTGCACTGCATCTTGATTAGGCCAGAGGAACTGAAAAAGGAAAATGAATGGAAAATAGTTACAAAATTATTCCCTCAGTAAAATGAAGGTTGATTATTATTGACTTGCCCTTGATTTCACTTGTTTTAATAGGACATTAAATAACACTCGAGGTACGTCAAGATGCACTGTCAATCACAAAGCATCAGACATGTTTACATTCAAAACACTTTTCAGACTCCTTTTCCATAATGATCAATAATTGCATAAAAGCAGTGGGTGGTCAAATATGTATTAGCAGATGCGATGCATTACAGATTCCTGTAAGGTATTTGGGTTTTACACTGTTTCGTGTAATGACAAGACAGAGACTAAGTGGCATTGTGTCCTTGGTATATGTGGGGCAAACACCAGTAAGTCCCAGAGCACGCATTCTGTTTCTCTCTGGCAGCCTGTACGTGTTTGTGTTGGTTGGAGATTGATCACTCCCCCTTCTCTCTCCCTCCTCAATGCCCTCACACAGAATCAAACTGCTTTTCCAGCAAAAAAAGTAGAGCATTCGCTCTCTCCTTTTCTTTTTGTAAGGCAATTGCTTATACATATTGATGATAATGTTCTTAATTACATTTGTTTATTTTTTCCGATTGAATCACAGAACGCTTTTGTGGAGCTGATGAGCTTGTCTGACTCATTATTTTTAATGAACCAAAAGTCTCCCAAGACCATCAGTTTCTCAACTCCAGCGCAGCAGCACCAATTAAACAGTGCAAGCTGTGATTATGTCAAGAGATTTGGCAGAGTGGCCTCTGCTGCTCTTTGGGTCACTATTGGAAACAGAAAACTGAAAAGAAAAGGAGTGGAAGAGAGAGAGAGGACTAAAAAGAAAGAGACAGAGGGAGGTTAGTCTAGATTAGCTCAATGCTGTACAGCGGTTTGTCCATCATCTAATGAAAGCACATGGTAACCTTTCCCAGTGGCTTTGTGTCAGGCTTTCCGTTATGTTCCACAGGGAATCTCACCGCAAGTGTTTTTCTATTACTCACACTCATACCAGACCCTTTTGCTCATGAGATAAGGACTACGATTCCCCTGGACTATTTGCTGTCAGCCCAGGCTACTTCCATTCGGAGCATGTGTGTACGGGTCTATCTACACTCTTAAAAATAAAGGTGCTTCATGATGCCATAGAAGAACCTTTTTGTCTAAATGGTTCCATAAAGAACCTTTAACATCTGAAGAACCTTTCTGTTTCACAAAAGGTTCTTTGTGGTGAAAGAAGGTTCTTCAGATTATAAAAAGGTAAGAAAGAGATGGTTCTTTAAACAAACTTTGACTGAATGGTTCTTTGTGGAACCAAAAATGGTTCTTCTATGGCATCGCTTGAAGAACCTTTTGAAGCACCTTTATTTTTAAGAGTGTATCCATACTCCAAACCACTTATCCTAGGTAGAGTCACAGGATGTGTTGTGCATTTAGAGATCATCACAGATAGATTGAGAAAAGGGCAAATCTCAGTAAACATCACCCATTTTTATGTCTCTGTTTTGCTTCTGGATATAGCTGCTCACTTGTTCATTGAGGGAGATAAATCATGTTCAGGTGAAAGAAAGACTCAAGACAAAATTCCACTTAAAACTGGGTACATTTTACTGTAAAACAGGTTAGGAAACATTTTCCAGTGTTCATTGCTGTGAAGAGGTCGTACAAGGAAAAACAAACAGTTTTACAGCAAACTACCTTTCCTGAATACGTCTCATAGTAAATGTTGTGAACACTGAGCTAAAGAAATAGAAACTATGAGCTTATGCTCGGTCCTTTAAAGTAATAAATTGACAAGATGAGCCAATTTGCTTAAGAAATATTGACCATTTAACTGAACTAAACACTATAATGTCATATACTGTATTTGGCAATGTAGCCAGGCTAAGGAAACCAAACATGTTTACTGTCATCAATCTTCAAGACTTTCTAGATATTGTAATATAGGCTATTTAAAGTATTCTCATTGCTACTGACAAAGCTTAAAAGTGATTAGTTTCACCCGTCAGGCTTTGCAGAAATTAAAAGAGACAATCCAAATCTGGAAAAACATATTTCTCTTAAAAACACCATAAGCCAAAGAGTCTAACGATCATGATGCTGTCAATCATTCAGCATTTAATCTAATTAACCACAGAGACACAGGACAAGAACAATATAACCAATAATATAAAATAAAATATTGCTTTTAAAAAGCTGAAAAAAAAATGTTACATATGAAGCAGTGTAACAGTCCAGACATTAAAAAAAGATATATTGATGTAATATTCTTCATATTTTGCTCTATAGGTCAAAATCAGGCTCCTGGAGGCATTTTCTGTTGCCAGGCAGGTAACACACCAAAACCACACCAGAACCATTTGAACATTCTGCAGATGTTTCTCAAATTCTCTTTAATATCAACATATCAAGCCTTTAGGTTTGCTTCACAAACTCTAAAGAGAACTAACTATAATATTGTGTTTTCAGTTATCGCAGTGCCTTATCGATTTTAAAGTAACGTTTACCAATTATTGTCTGAATTAGCATCACAACTAACCATTTAGTTTCATTGCTTTATATAGAGATCATGAATAATTTGTACAGTCAACAGAGAGAAACTGCCTGAAGCCTTCAAATATTATTGCCCAAAGTTCAACGATATCCCATATGTCTCTCTCCATTGTGCTGCAAAGCCAGTGGCCGTGGTAAAAATAAAACGGATGCTGCTGGAAACATAAACAGCATACAAAGACATTCAAACAACAGTGTTCTAGAGTACAGAGTGTCCTAGAAACCATACAGATCATGTTACAGTGTCTATTGCTACAGAAAATAGTGTGCAGAGATGCACAAGGATGGATTAGTTGGGAATGAGACACACATGCATGTTTCCACCAACACTTCTTACTTTTTCTAAAACCCGCCTAACATGACGCATAACAATGAATATATTAAATGACTTTCTGATGCATGATATAATCAACACGAGGCCATACGGCATACACTTAACATCTTATTGCAAGGGTAGGGGGGTCTTCACACGTCACGTTTCATGCCTGACTTGCCAAAGACCTTTCCACCAATCCAGATGGCTCCATGACCCTCAGAGCTCTTGCTGAGTCCTTATGGTTCTCACGTGCCATTGACTCGATCAGTGACAACACACAAGAAATCAAATGCTTACACCCATAGATCATATATATTCATATCTAGCTATTTTACAATCATTATGGCATTATAGCATACACCAACTTTGGTAGAAACAGTGCAGAAATGATTACAAGTTTAAATGAGCTTGGATAGCAAATACAAAGCCATATAAATACATGCAATCGTTTGAACAGTAAAGAAGTGGTCTGGCTGTTTTGATTTGATCTAATCAGAACACACTCCATTCCCCAATGGCCCTTCAGATACATAGATTTTGTGCTTTATTTGATTTTCGGGATGTCTGCATGAGTGGTCGGAGATGAAAAGAGATGTGATGGCTCAACACAAGGCAAACACAGATGCATCCTTCACATCTCAGTGTCCCTGTCTGCATCTCTAAAGCTAAAGCACACTCACAAACACAGATATGGGCATATGTGTAATTCTTCACATACTCTCCACAACTGCAAATTTAAACTACTTTGTTATGCTCTAAATATAGCGATATTAGGGATCTTTATCCTGTTTGCTTCCACCAAATATTGCAATGCATTCTCATCTTCGTATTGTTACCCCAGAAACACTAACCACATTGCACTTTTTCTATCTGGCAGCTTTTTATGAAATGCTTTGGACTGTCTATTGCACCAGCTGCTGCTGTTTTGCACTTGAACATCCACTCGTGATGATTAAAGATTACAGCTATCTACTGTTTTATCTGTTTGGTGCATCCAAAACACACCCACGCACCAACTTGAACATTTTCCTCCACAGAGAACCACTTTAAAGGCTAAATGTACTATCCTGTATACTATGAAAAAAACTAATCTTGATATTCAAAACAGGATCACAGTAACATTCAGTACCACTTAATATTGAAAAGAGAAATATTGCAAATACAATTGCACTTTGACTTATCAGAAATGGACATGATCAGTTATCCTCCACCTACAAAGAAAACACCACAAAACAGAGTTTGACATCACGTCAAATACTTACAGACGCATAAGACAAACAAACAGACAGAGAAAATACACAAATATGACACGATCTGAGTGCAAATTCTCTAAGTGAATAATGGTGTCTATATTACTGTCAAAATGAATCAATTTCAAAATCTAAATGTTTTTTTTAAGATGCTAGATAATTTCAAAAAATTTTTGAAGCTAAAAGACAAAATCTGCCATCTAAAATGAGCTCCATCTACACATGCCTTAATGTTACACATACAGTACATGAGTATATAGAAATCCAAACATCTAAACACACAAAGCTCCTGCTACAGATATAAAGTGTGAGTGTTATTTCAACACCACTCAGGTAACTCAATCATTCAGACAGAACAACTTTCTATTGAAAAAAATGTATCTTTCGCCCTCCTCTTCTCTCTCTGTCTCTCAAGATGGTACAGTACAGAGGGAGGTCAGTTAAACGAATGAAACCTGAGTTATATTCCCTCTAATAATATTATAAAAACCCACCATACCTTAACAACTAAAACAGTGCAATATTATGCTGAAAGATAAAATTACAGTAGTTATTTTACAGAGTTAGAGTGAATACGTACATACAACAGATATGTAGTTCCACAGTTTATCCTGCATTTGTAGATAGTGAATAACACAATAACCTCAAGGCCTTTTTCACTGTTAAATGGCCTTGTTTCACTGTCCCTGCTAGTTAACCACAAAAACAGCTACTCAAAAATGCTAAAAAACAAATCTGTTCTTATTTTTCCTCCTTCTTAACACAGCTTTTTCAATTATTAAAGACATTGAACATTATTTCCTAGACCTCTCACAGGCTTAAAGTTAAGACCTGCCGATATCAACCGAATGTTTCTCTTTCAGGCTGAAAGCTCAAATGGATGGGGTGAACACACAGCACCTAACAGTAATGGCTGCTTTCCCTCGTTACATTTGAGGGCAGAGAACTGGAACGTCTTCTCAATGTCAGCCATATTCATCCTCAGCCTCAGCTTCCTCCTTCCACCTCAGGGCTTTTCCGCCCAGGCTCTCTCTCTCTGGAGGGAACGTTGCCGCGTGGGCCTTAAAGAAAGCTACCTGCCTCTTGGGCTGCTTAAACCAATGGCACAATGTCACAGAAGGTCATCGTAGTCGAGAAGTTTGGAGTGTTGGCGGCTCTTCCACAAGCGGTAGAGGCGGAAATCGAAGTACATCTCGATCATCTCCTTACCTGAGAGTGGAAAGAGCACAACAATTTTAGCTCTCCTTAAAATATCTGACTATAAAATCACAGGCTGCATGTCACACATCTACCATACCATCCGCTAGTAAAATAGATCTTCATTAGGAAGCCTTTATAGGCATTTGTGGGTGTTTTAAATACAGTTCTCTATTTAAAACACTGGTAATTATCCTCAACAGTGCGAATCAAGCTGTGTAGAGTCCATAGGGGACAAAAGGAGATGGAAGAGGAGGGAGGGGGGCAAGTGGGCCTCCTGGGTCCAATGAAGAGACAGAAACAGTGGGAAAAGATAATGAGGTTTTAATTGGAGAATTAATTACTGTCAAATCAATAGCTGTGGCATGGATAAGAGTAGGGGTCAGAGTTCATATGGCATATAGGACTCACCATACTTTGCAAGTTTGTTGAAATGCATTTTTAATAGTTTGTTCACTGCATGGGTGTCAGAATATGTAATCGGTCATGTCTGTAGTAGTGTGTGTGTGTGTGTGTGTGTGTGTGTGCAGTACACTCACCCTGAGCTGACAGTTCCAGAGGAGACTTAAACTCAATGACATGAGGTTTCATCAGTTTCTTGAGGTTTTGAAAAAGCTGAGGACGAGAGAAAGTTTAGCTGTTTCACTACTTTCCACACTTCAAACTGGCAAAAGATCATCAGCATTACTCATATTAAAAACAGATATTACAGATATATTTACAACTTTTTCAATAATTAATGCTGATACCAATATTCAGATAGCAGAGGGGTTGGTAATGTAGATATAATATATATAAACAATATAACATAACATCATGTAATGAATGCAAATGAGATATACACAAAATTATTTGATTGTTTTGATTTTACACAACATTTAAAATTGTAAGTAATAATAACAATAGTAATGATTATGATTATTATAATTTTTATTATTGACTTAAAATATTAAATAGTGTGTGTCTATATAATACTATACCATGGTCTGTCTGAATACTCAATTCTGATTGGCTGACAGGTATGCATGAAAACCGTTTAATGCACAGGTAGTTCCAAGTAAGTTTAATCACCATTCTATATTAATGCACAGAGAAACATTCAGGAGGACAGAAACTTGTCAACGCTGCCCCGCAACTTTAATTAATAAAATGGCTTAGATACTGGATCACTGCATTATATTCCTCAGCAAGGAGGAGATCAAATCACTGTTTAAGTACTGTTTAAGATTTTTGTTTGCAAAGAGACACAGGCGCAGGTAATTCACAAAACTGATCAAATCTCTCTATCGGTTGAACAAGTGATAATTAATTCAAATAAATGTTATAATTCATTCATTCAAATAAATGTGATCTGACCACACTTTTTCATCTGTGTGTCTGACTTAAAACGGGCAGAATGCTAGAGCTAACGATCCGTAACTGACGAAAATAACCCTATTTTTAAAAATCATTTTTACCCTTCTGGTCAAATATTGTGCAGCAAATATAATTAGCAGCTTTAACTTGTCAATGCTGGTAAATGACCGTGGTATAAGTGGGATAATGCACGGCTAGCTGGCTAGCTCCACTTCGCATCAGGTGGTTCTTGGCCTCCACTTATTTTATTAAAACTTATTGTTTTAATAAAACATTTTAATTCTTTACTACTTTGTTTTTTCATGATTATTACAGTTATTATTACTCTGTATATATAACAATAACAAGTATTTAATAATAGTAATAATTGTTTCAACTAACTTATTTGTCTGTTCATTTCAAAATCCAAATATCAGTCTATACCTGCTATAAAAGTCTATAACTACTTAAAGCTAACCAAAACCTTCACTCTGATCGACTTAATAATGTGATTGACTGCTAATAGGAGCTATACAGTGATGTATGTGCATCATAAACCAGAGGAAGTGGAACAGGGCAACCGGTGGAGTGTTAAACTGTGTGTTTTGCTGTGCTGTGATTGGCCTCCGCTAGAGGGGGTCTGGTAGTGTCAATGAGAATCCTTCATATCAGGACAGAGTCTGTCAGAGTGAATTAATTGCCTCCTGCTATTCCCCTCCCAATCCTTCGACTTCTGTTTCTCTGGTCGCTGTCAGTATAATTTCTCATCTGGACATTTTTTTCTAGAAACTATTCTCCACTTCTCAAATCGATCATGAAAGCCACAGAAAGCCTCTTGAATCCATGCTCAGCTAATCAATCTCTTTCCAATGTAGAGAAGGAAGGGGTGTCTGGCTCTTTGATCAGGCCATTTCTAAAGCATTACTAAACCAAAGTGCTCGCACCAAGAATCCTCTTTCATCATGACACACAAATCTGACACAACTGTGAAAATCTAAATAATTAAAAGCAATATTACACTGTAAAACCTAACAAATGTCCTAAATAACACTTTTTAGTTGATTTTACTTAATGTACAACAATTTGTTGATTTTAGTTGTACAAATCTAGTAATCTGTACTATTTGCATACTATGCCTTTGTTACTCAGAAAACCCTAGTTATAATAAATTGATTTGTACGAGTACCATTTTGTCAAGTTAGTTTCTAGTTCCCAGCATGCTTTGCTTCAGACTCTAGAACTAAATGTTGAAATTACTGAAAAATTTTTGAAATTTTATTTTTTACACAAGATTAGTATAGGGGGAGATCTGTTAGTGTTTAATGTTCTGTTATGCTGATATGTCTGCATTTTTGGGGAGGCTACCATTGTGCTGAAGAGTAAAGGCTGTGGTTAGGTTGAGGATGAGGCTTCAAATAAGACTATATACTGCCTTATTTAAAAAGAATTAACTGCAGTTGTTGATGCAGTAGTCTGTTGCTTATGTTAGCAGGTGCATGTGTGCTATTGCTAACTGGATGACTGAAGCACTTAATTTGCCGGAGTAGTAATACTTACTTGGTTTTCTTAAGGTAATCGGTTTGCATGGCTTTAATAAGTAAATCAGTAAATGTTATATTAGTTAGCTAAACTAAAAAAAAAAACTTTTTAGTTTTAACAACTAATTCATTTTAGTTAAATATACTAGGTGTGTATTCCAAACAACTCATTTATTTAAGGCAATAGGTTTACAGTTTTTTTTAAGTAAGGTCAGCTAATTAGATTTTACAGTGTAGCAGTTGAAATCAAATTAACAACAGCAAAGAACGGGAGGAATAGCTCAAGCTCATGGCTTTGATGATGCTCAGCAAATTAGTCCCTTCCCTTTATTCAGTATAACATTACATGTGCTGCTCAGGCAGTCATTACAAACTTATTAGCTTTCTGATATAGAACACACAAGACATATGACCGACTGCTGCTGCCTTAGCACAGCTAATAGAAAACAAATCACAGAGACAGTGTATTACTGTTATCTGATTCTAACACAACAACAAAAACACAAAAAAATCATTCTTTTGAAGTGGATCTTTTAAATGAATTTGATCTGGGTCATAAAACCAGTCTGAATGATTCATTCATGGACTGATCTGTTTCACTCAATGAATTGATGATCACACACTGACTCAAACTTGTAAGGCCTACAACACTTCTGCGGTGCTTTTGTGTTCTTTATGAATTCTTGTTTTTGAATGGAAATGCATACAATATTCAAATTTCATACAGGCTTGGAATGACATGAGGGTAAGTAAATAATGATAGCATTTTAATTTGCACAGGACTATTCCCTTAAACACAAAAAGAAGGCATAGAGCTGCTGGGTTGCTTGGTGCACCTGGTCAGGCACTATATAAAGTAAGTTCACTCAAGCTCTTTCTCTCCCCTTCAGAAGTAGCAGGGCAGTGCTGAAAGGACCATGGGAGAAAATTGCTAAATGAAGCGAAAAACAGACTCAAAAAAGAAAGAAAGAGAGTTTTGTGCATCATGGTCATGTGTACTTCAATCAGTGGCTGCGTGCACTTCAATCAAGAGACTGCATCTAAATTTGTTTACAAAGTGTCTGTCATAAAGGTGCACCACAGTGCTGTCAGCATTCAGCATAATGCTGTTGCGGAATATTAACTATGCTTAAAATCAGTGTGATTTGCATATAGTAATACTTTGAATATAGATGTGGAAAGAGGACAGAAAACGTCTCGTATGGTAACCCTCGTTCCCTGAAGGAGGGAACGGAGACGTCACGTCGGATGACCGACGAATTGGGATCTCGCTTAGAGAGACCAATCTACTTTGAGTGTAAACTAAACGAGCCAATGCACATTGGCATGCGATTATTGCATCCAGCTGCCACTGATCACAGAATGAGTATAAGTAGGCAGCAGATGCAGCACATATTCAGGTTTTCGCTGAGAAGCCGAGCCGGTGACCCGGCCACTCAGCAGTGGTACAGGAGCTCACGTCCCGTCAGATGACCGACGAATTGGGATCCTACTAAAAGGCCACAGCTACTGCCCCTTCCAGTGTCCTGTGGAAGCCACCTGCGCCCCTACTTTTGGCGTAGGCCAGGGCTTGCACAAGAGGACCAGCTACTGCTGCTATGGCACTACCCAATAAGTAAGACTGGATAACACTGGGAAAACGTACCTGTTCTACTTGGAACAGGGACGTTACGGAAGCTCCAACCTTCCCGAAGGAGGTTTCGGAAGCAA